ATAAAATGTTTTAACAGAAATGTTTCTAAAATCTATCATAAGCAATAATTGAAAAACATATTTAAACAGAACAAAAATTTTAACATCATGATGTTAAAATTGCTCCAAAATGTTTACCAAAAGTCATTTTTTTATCAATCACGATTCAGTTTAATGTCAATTTATAGGTCATTTTATAGTGGCTTGTTCTACTTTAATTGCGAAAAACTTTTGTACGAAGATCGTTTGATAAGTCCGGTAAATCTTGATAAAGTAGTGTAACAATCCATTTGATAAATTCCGTGCAAAATTACAGAATTTGGCTTCAAATTGATTCCTCATCCACTTAATTTTCCATAGAATGTGTTTCCTTTTTTATTTTTATACGCGTAATTTCTCGCTCGCTTTAAACAACTATCAAACGTGAGCAACGCATCAATTCTGGTTGAAATTTGACCTGGAAAAGGAAGTTTGAAGAATGATACTTTTCAAGTGTCACGTCAAAAAGATTTACTTATAAAAATTTACCAGACTTATCGAATGACCTACGTATATGAATAATGATATTGTGTGGAAATTGTAAGCGTGATTTTTTAATAGTGAATTATGCATATGTGCTTATATATACATATAATATGATTAATTAATCAAAATAATTAGCGGTATAATTATTATTTTTGAGAAACACTTTAAGTTTATTTCAATAAGTTTTGTAATTTGTAAACAGATCACAAATGCGTATGACTAATGGCCAAAATTTTTAATAAATTTTAAGTACGTACTTCAGAAATCATATTTAAATATATATTTAATTGATACTTAAACAATATTTAAATTTATTATGTCGACAATCAAGTATATGTTTAGACATCATTTTTGTAGTACTAGAAATAGCCGAAATCTTTTTGGCAATATTTCAAAAAGTTCTGAATCAGACATGCGCTTTAGAAGAATCATTCGCATAACATGTATTTAATTATTTTATTATTTTAATTTTATATTGTACTGAAGAGACTCAAAAACAGAGGTCAAAACATTTATCGTTCAATTTTCTAAGAAAATAATAGATTGTTACACACTAATAACCTGTGTTGGCTCGAAAAAAGTTGTTATATTTTTTAAAACAGAATTATTACCTTATTGAACTTAATTAGAACACACGGTTGTAATGGATCAGTATATCCATATGGAGGCTGCCCACAAACACCAAGGCTTTCAATATCGAAAAAACAAGGTTTTGTATTAAATGTGATTAGTGCACTATCATTACATTCCGCAACTGTTTTATAGTTCTCTTTACTTTTATTGTATTCTAAAATGAAAACGTTAGTTACCATTTTTTTCCTTATTTTTATTAAAATAGGCAACATTTTGCTGTGAAAATTTTTCCATTCAATTTGTCTTTATATCTAAAATACACTTAAAGAATTTACAACAGAAATCAAATAAATCCATATTTTTTGAATTTGTATTATGGAGCCAAATTGTTCTCAATAAATATCCAGAAAAAGAGAGTTATTTCCAATAATCTCGACTTTAACATATGGACTGCATTCGGGGAAACGCTGTTAGCGCTATTTGTGTTATTCTATCTTCATCGTCTAAACGTAAGAAAAAGATAATATTACAGATATGATGCAGATAGCGCGCTCCTCGAATGCATCCATGTTGTTTTATTCCAGCTGCCATTTTGGGTTCGTCATTTTTAATTTTTAAAAACGCCATAGAGCATCGAGCAATAGACATTTCAAGGAAAATTTTAAGCCATTTTAAAGAATTTTATCTCAAAAGTTGAAATATAATAACTTAAATCAGGGTCTCTTTCATCAATTTCTAGTTAAATTAATCGATGATCAACTCAAAGTTTCAACAGCAGTTTAATGTATCAAAACATCGCCTTTCTCTTCCTCTTCTGTATTTAGTTTTCATGTTGGCGTGATGATTGTATGTGTGTACCTTCCAGCAAGTGACAGTATGACACAGTAATCATGTCATCTTTGTTTAACATTGGCAAACAACAAGGATGTCATGATTTATTGTGTCACACTGGGTGTTTTCCATTTGATGACACAAGTTGACACAAGTCGATACAAGCGTCGTTCTATCCTTGTTGTTCAGAGTGTGACAAAGATAGAACATTTGTGTCGACTTGTGTCATCAAATGAAAAGCACCCATTGTCATTTGTGTCGCTCGTTAGAAGGCACACTATATTAACCACCGATTAGCATTAATCAGGGTTGGTGAAAGAGGCCCTCAGTATTATGATTCTTGAAACGTTCCAATCTGTAATATGAGGTCTGTTCTTTATTTCTACCTGAACTGATGCACATGGTGCAATAAATTGAAATGAAACAAATATACATGTGTTTCATTTCAATTTATTGCACTGTATGTACCAATTCAAACACTGCAGGAATAAAGAACAGACCTATGGTCCTCTTCAGTAATACATATTTATTTAAAATGTCGGATACATCAATAATTATGTCAAATAAATTTTGACGGTTGTGTACACTGTTATCAGCCATCTTGAAAAATATTATCCATTAATACATTTAATAGGATGTGTCTGTAAATACTATATATTCCTCAAACAAATCAATATTGTTAAGACAAACAATACAAGTAGACATTTCATTTTTGTTAGATGTAACGTTCAATCTAAAATTCTAAAGGAAAGTCTACTTGTATTGTTTGTCTTGACAATTGCCCATATTCATAGTCAGGCCTTATATTTAAGGCTTCCTTAAATTTATCTTTAGATAATTGCTCTACGAATTATTTCATTGGCTGCTGAGCATCTAAAGATAAATTTAAGGAAGTCTTAAGTACAAGGTCTGACTCTCTATGAATACGGGCATTAGTATATTAGTTTACTTGAGGAATATAGTATCTATGTAGACACATCATATTAAATGTGTTCAATGGACAATTGATATTGCTCAAGATAACTGATAATAATGTATATAACTATTCAAATTTATTCGACGTCTAATTGTTGATGTATCTGACATTTTAAATAAATATGTATCACTGAAGAGAACCATATTAAAGAGTAAAAATGTTTAAAAAAATTATAATACCGATTTTACTTTTTACCAGAAAAAACATCCAAACTTGGCTTGATTAGCTTTCTGTATTGTAGTATTTTGTATAAAATTATTATACCTTTGTGCATTATTGAAATAAAAATAATACATTATTGTTTCACTTCCGTGTCACAAATTATAATTTCATGATCCAAGAAATTTTTTTTCAATTAAAAAAAATAAGACTTGTAATTCTGTATTATGAGCAAAACTGGATTTAAGATTCTCAAACTTGTTTTGGATTGAATAGCAATTATGTCATTTCAATCTTGTATCATGAATGAAAATGGATTGCGTGACTTATTTTTGTCCACGAAACTTTTTTTCCATTAAAAAGAATAGAAATTTCATAGTTTCAGTCCCTTGTCAAGGGAAAAAGATACGAAAAAAACAAGAATTTAGATTCGGCAATAACCACATGAAATTATATCTATCTATTTCAATCTCTTTCCAGATATTGAGTTGTTAATTGAAGATTCTAATTATTAATGCTTGCATTATTTGTTTTCATCTGATGTCCTTACCTTGTAAAAAGTCACTTAAGGCTTGCACATATCTTTTCGGTCGAGCGTTCGTATTAAAATTATCTATCCAAATAATAGGAGATTTCGTGGGTAACAAAATATTCGGTTTGAAAGCAATTCCTATTTAAACAAAATATTATAATATCAAGGATATCCTCCCAATAATCGGAAATGAATTAAAATGGATTGAAACTTTTATATGTATTTTAAGTTCATTGAAATATAACAATTAGATAGAAAAACTGCATTTCCTATTTAGAATTTTAAATTAAGCAATATTCACAATGCATAGAAAAAGCTGATATTATTTTTAGATTGGAAGGTATAGAAATATGCTGTCATGCAATTCCTGTAAATAAATAAAAATGTATTCGGATTGAGAAAGGTTTATTTTAATATTTACAAGTGCATATTTCTGAAAACTTAAATCAATTTCAATCCATTACAGTTTAATGGGCTATTAGAATCAACTGAAATAGCATATTGTGTATTTTATTAGTTTTTAAGAAAATTTTACCTGGATTGTCAAAAGGCATTTGACGAAAAAGCGGAAAATTGTCATCAAAATAAGATCTAGGGATCAAACCGCTATAAAGAAAAAACGGTTTTTCTAATTTCGAAGCATAATTGATACTGATCCACAATTGCAATGCAAATAAGGAACCCAATACGGTAAAGAAACACAAGTAAAAGAATCCCAACAAGGCTATTCAAGAGAAAACGATCATATAATTCCACAACGATTAGCAATTGAAAAAATGTACCCCTTAATAATTACCCCATTCTTTTCCAGTTCTACCAAGCAACTGTCTTCTCTCTGGAAACCAAACAAATCGCAAAAAATTATGAAATGCTCCTAAGTCAGGCTCAGGTATTCTACTTCGATAATATTCATCGTCATGCAAAATAACCATTTCAAGAATTTTTTATTGTTATATTTCATTTATGACAGATTAATGAAAAAATAATTGAATGTATTATGAAATGTACATGAAGTGAGCAATAAACAATTTTAATATTGCTCTCATGATGGAATCAGATTCTAATTTCACCATGATTGCTCTATTTACTATCGATTGATAGAATTAAGTAAAATTTTATGTAGATTCCCAATAAATCTGTTTTTTATTCCTGCACTTGCTGAGCTAAGTGCACAAAGAATATGTTAAAGTGGAACAAATATGTTTGTTTCAAAGAGTGCAGGAATAAAACACAAAACTAATTACATTGTATCTTGAATTACAATGTATCTTGAGTTCAATAACACAAGAAAGAAATAAAAGAATAATTAAAATAATTTTAATAAAAAAATATTCAATTTTTCAGAAAAACTTATTTGAAAATTCACATATTTATTTCATTAAATTTTACAAAAATTGACTAACCATAACTACCAACTGTTAACGTGTATTATGTACAGTATTATTTCCTCTTGTGGTTTTATCAAGCTTAATAACAGGCAACTCATTTATGAAAAAATTTTAAGTATACAATTATACCAAGAATAACTAATTCCAATAAAATAATCAAGATTAGCACAATTTTGTTTGTCAAAACCTTTAGTCGCATAACATTCAGAATTTTTCTCGCTTTATTCAATTCCTCATCTGTCTGTGACAATCTCCTTTTTGCGCGCAAGAGACAATCTCTTTGTTCACCTAATTCAGAGATCACTTCTGTACCAATTTGCTCATTCTCTGCTGCGACAACTTGCGATCTTGCGACCGACAGTGCCGAACGTTCTAATGCTGCATTTCCATCCAGCAAAATACGTCGATGTTCAACGTCCCAATCCGTTCCAAAATTCATCTTATTTATTATATTTCATTCAATTCGGCATACGGCAACAAAGAATAAAGAGTGAATATGATGATCAAACGTTATTTTTATACTTTACATATTCTTCCTTGTTGCATCCGAAATATTAAAACTACTACAATGGCAAATATGACAATGGTAAATATAATAAAAGAAAACATTTCCATATTATAAATATGTTAGATATAAAAAATTACCTGTTCTTAGAAACGACGGATTCTTATTTCATTTGAATAAATTATCTATGTTCTTTTTTATCATTTATTTATTGTATTCCCTCCTACACCTACTACATCATCATTTGCCACTATTGTCTATTCGCATCAATTCGCATAACAGTAATAAGAAATAACAATCACGGACATCATGATCACCAACATAAAATCTCAAGGTATATCTAGAGATCCTCTCCTCTAGGATGCATTTGGATTTCTTACTCAGTAAAGTCACTAGATTTATAAAATACTATAAACTCGTCTCCATTTTGACGTGAAACGCGGCTATTTTAAATTTATGCATTTGTATATACGTGCTTTATTTGAGAAAATAAAGCCATTAAGTATGTAAATAAATGTTTTTAATCGTAATTAGTTTACTTATAAAAAAACAATATGTACAAATGCTTAATTTATGTATTATTTAGTTTAAAACTGGTTTATTTGTTGTAGAAGTTTAATGCATATAAAAGTTCTCGCTACCTTGCAACCAATCAACGCGCTTGAAAAATTCATTGTACGATAAAAAACAATCGCATATAATATTGTCTTCCGCGTTTCCGTATTTCCGCGCTTCATGTAATGGCACCTTCAGACTATGCATTGGAAATTGAGATTGAGATTAAGATTGAAGATTGCTCAATCACTATGAATTGTATCCAACAGCAGTTAAGATTGAGATTAGTAAGAATATTGGATAACTAGAACTACACATAACAAAAATTATTGAATACGCATTTAATTGCACTTACACGTTTTAATTATACTGTGTTTGTACTTCTTATAACCCTTTATAACTTATTATTTATACATACACAATACATTTGATAAGATTAGTCACGTGAGGTTAGTCATGTAACTAAAATACTGAAAGCTTATTGATTGAGATTGAGATTAAAGATTGGAAAAATAGACGAAATCCTATATTTCAATCTGCAATCTCAATCTCAGCATGCTCTGTTTCTCATTGGTCGAGCTTCAATTTTAATCTCAATCTTAATTTCAATCTCAATCTTCATAGTCCTGGGCACCTATCATGGAACAAAATCAGAATGGATTCCGATCAGAATTATTCAATTATTCCCTACATTTCTATTATGTTTTCTGAGGAAAAACGGAATAATTCCGATCGAAATCCATTCCGCCTTTATTCCATAATAGATGCCCTGATCACGGTTAAGGTAGTTCTAACCCGACTATATTAGTCAAGTTGACACCTTAATAAAAAAATTGATTATATCAGAAATAGTGTAGCCTAAAATTTAAAACTTGATTTTTAAAACTCTATTACACTCTTTTTTTAATAATTGAATTAAAATAATAATAAACACAGAAACACTAATTTCATCAGCATAGAGAAGCCGAGTTTTAGATGTGGTAACGTTGCATGTTTAGGGTCTGAGCACAAGAATCGTAACACTTACTTAGGCCCGGTTGTTCCACCTTTTAGTTGTTCCAAATTTTACCTGTTGGGTAAGTAGCAAGATTACCCAATTACATGCGCGGATTGCCAGATTTACCTAATAGGTAAAATTTACCAAAAGGTGGAACAACCGACCCTTAGAGACTTAAGTTCTAGACGTAAGTAATGCACAAGCTTTGGCGTATGACGTACGATTTATTGCCGCCTCTTGGAAACACGGTAAGTTGTATGTCATACGTGAAAGCTTGTGCGTTACTTACATCTATAATTTAAGTCTAAGTAAGTGTTACGACAATTCTTGTGCTCAGATTCTTATGCCTAATTCACACTGGACGCTTGCTGCGTCCAGTGTGAATTAGGCATTACTTTCGATCCGTAACCCCGCGACTTGCCAGGTTAGAAGGTAAATATCTATTATAATATCCAGTAGTAAGCATGAACGAGCAGCTGCGATATAAAGGACGCTTTATTAAGAAAAAAAATTAGATCGTAAGTTAAAACTGAAAGAAGAAATGTCGAAAAAACAAGCTGGATAGCATAACCTCGATAATAAAAGCAACAATAACCGATGCGATGGCAATCGCATTGTCAATTTGAAATCACTTGGCAAGAATCTAAAATGCAAAAAATGTGAAAAAGTTCTATTTTTGAAGGAATGTTGGAGGGAAAGAGAAGAGCAGGATTACATTCTATTTTGCGTGTCAAGTGTAAAGCCTATTCTACAATATGCTTTTTTATTTTCTGTTTTTTGTTATTTTTTACATCTTGTCTTTTTATTTCTTATCCGGTTTTTTATTTTATATCGCCTGAGATAAAAGTTAACGAATTTTAAAAGAAACAAGAAATACATTGTCGATAAAACGGTTGCAAAGGAGAAAAAAGCAAAAGGTAAAAAACAAGAAACATGAAACAAAAAGCATATTGTAGGCTTAATTATTGCGAAACATTTGCTGGATTCACACTGGATCCAACGTGCGTCGTACAACGCTCTGCAACCAATCAGAAAATAGGATTTTGCTTCGTATCATCGATACAAAATAAAATTCTGCTTTCTGATTGGTTGCAGAACGTCGTATGATGCACATCGGATCCAGTGTGAATCCAGCAATATACTGATATACCGACTGAAGTTCAACATGTAATAAACGACGATGCAAAGAAGTATCTCAAAGCAAATGTACACACAACAAATGTTGTATTGGGTAATTATGAATATTGTTTACATAATTATTTTCCTATATTACTTATATGTTATAAAGTTAGGTAAACTAAAGTATATAGTGGATTTTTTTATACAGTAGTTTGTTTTGTAAAATAATTGCTTTGAACATTGTTTCAGGTACTTTGCATGCTGGTATTGATTGTATGTAACTGAATAAAATTTTAATGTGTTTAGAGATTCCAATTATTTCACATGAATGTACAAAAAGTATGATCAATATGTGAGGTAGCAGCAAAAGAGAGCTGTAAACGAGCTACATCACAGAAGATAAACAACTAGTGTTTTTCAAAAATAGAGGAGCCGCGTGAAGTATTGTAAGATAATAGACTTTTTATCTTGCAATACGTTTGTCTCGGATTTATGAATCTAAATACATTGTACACAAACAGTTTTATTATTGCAAACGATTAATTTCTTTTTATTGATTTTTGTATCAAAAAAATATTATATTATTATAATTAATAATGTAATAATATAATTACATATATAATAATTATTATTATATAATTATTATTTTATTTTATATATACCGAATTTACTGTACAGAATGAATTTTTACATGCTTTATGCAATTATACGTAAAATATTTTTACTACGAACTTTTTTTTTTTCAAGAATTGTATAACAGTTCAAAAAAATATTGAATAATGGGAGTAGTTTATAAAAAAATCAAATATACTTGGTTCGAAAACAATATCTAAAAAACTTACTCATGAGTAGATAAAAGTGAAATTAATCTAAATATACAGTAACAATTAACTGTATTAAAAAAAAATGATTTCCTCCAATAAAAAATTTGTTTAAATTTTTCCTTTAGATTAATTTTTATTTCATTTATATTTTTTTCTATATTTATTAGGCCAGAAGAATTTAAAAATGAGTTTGTGGATGAAATGTACATATTTGATGAAGCTACAAAATTATGTTTAGATGAAAATAATAATAATTCAAGAAGACTGAATAGAATGCTAGGCTCTATAGTTAACATCGTAGTTCCCTTTAATATGGGATGGAGTAAGCATAGTAATGGTAAAAGCTATGATAGGATGCTCAATGAATATGGAGCAATTATTGGATTTTTGATAAGAAAGATTCTTGAGGATATAGGACTCGAAACAGAAAGTGTCATATATGTGACTTGGGTCATGCTAAAAGTGACAACGATTGCAGAAGGAATTTTCAAGGCAGCGCAAAAGCTATGGAGGCAGATGTTGGAATGGAATTGAAGCAATATACTGAAGGATGTTGGAGTTGAAGTCAAGATAATTGTAGCTGATGAAGATTGTACACTTATGCCTGCTATTAATCGTGAAAATTTTAAAAATAATAAGAAAAAGATTATTTACAAGATAGCTGATATGAAAAAAAAATTTATCAAAAAAGATTTACAGCATCAAATATGAATTTAAACAGCTGAGCAAAAAGGGGTTAATTACGTATATAAATAAATGTTTTATTTATGTTTTTGCACAATGCAACAAAATTCAAATAGATTATTGGCATCTGTGAGATGTCTGATAAAAAAATAAGCGAACTTTTTGAATTACTCAGTAACGGAGCGTTCTAGCGACGTGCGGTTTGCAGCACTACAATCGTTATAATCTTCCAATCAAAATCGTCTATTTAATTTACATGAAAAGTGTAGAGAGTGGTGCAAGTCAAAAAAGAATAATGGAGTAAGATTGCAACAAAAATTATAATTTATTCTAAAAGATGAGAACCTGTATAAAGAATTGTAAAGTATATTCTCTATGTATGCTAATACTATCGGGCTGATAATATCAGGCTGCTCCTCATCCCGATGAAATGGATTGCAAGATTCACGAAACATTGACATTCCACAAGAATGGATCTAAACACGGAGGAAACTCGCGAAAGGCATAACTTTTACATAGAAAGCACTCGTGGGAGCCTCAAAAATATTTACGTCAATTAATTATGCATATCCTTTTTGTATCAAATTGCTGCGTAGTAAAGAATAGAGAATATAAGAATTATGAGAAACGTTTTCATACAAGTCTAATATGAGATATCGTGTATTTTATTTATTTTTCAATGTTTTCAATCTTTATTTCCAAATATTTAAATATTTCTTATTTTATCTTTTATAATTAATCGTAGTATATTCTTGTTACTTGCATAAAACAATAGCAGTCTCCTTGCTTTATTATTTGCTTTATCTGATAGAGGAGGATTCGACATTCTTTCTGCATCATCATTTCTGATAAAAATAAGTTTAGTGATTTAGTGATAAGTGTGTGTTTAGTGACAAGACTGGAGCGTCAAAATCGTTCTCAAAATCAAGTAAAATGGAGAATCCCTCGTCAAGATATCAAATAATTATCTCTCAAGATAAAAAATAATTAAATTACCGCTAATTGACAGCACGAAGTGATGATTTTACACTCGCGCTTATGCAGTGTTTTAATAGCGTACTTCAAAATTTAAATAGAATTGAGATAATTCATTTCTTCCACTGTCTCATTTATAAGGCAGCATCTT